AAGCTCAATTCTTGCCAGTTTCTCTCTGACACTTCTCTCAAGGGTCAGACCTTCACCTATTTCTTGCAGGCTGATGGCTCCTGTGCTATCTAAAACTATTTCCTTTTTTCATATTTGATAATCCTCTTATTTCTTTTACTCAATTAAATTGAATTCTCTACGCTAGAATGCTGCTCAGGACACTCAATGAGGGGTATAGTATTGAGAAATGGGCAGCAGAGCTTAGAAACTAACGGAAAAATCGATACTGGAAGTTCCTGATTTTTCTTTTGTTTCTAAACGAAACCACTGTTTATAAAGAATGTGTAACTGAAAGATGCAGAAACAATTAGCCGCTTTTCTATTATTTTTAGACTCAAGTAAATATTCGATAATAGTACAGTTTGCAATACACTGAGGAAGTTCAAAAATAAGTCCATGAAGCCCCCAGAGAATGGTTAAAATGAGTAAATTGTGAAGATACAATTCATCACAGTAAAGGATCTCATGGCAAATTAATTCTGAGCTATGGCTTCACACTCCTCCTTTAGCAGACTTATCCTTCATCTACCCGTCAGTTCACTCAACCACTCATCCAGTCATCCAACACATATTTAGTGAATAGAAGCCCATGTGTATTACATGCTGTTGTAGGTTCTAGGATAAAATAGTGCTTAAAGTGTGTAAAGAAGGTTAAGGTCACAATAATCGAATACACAAATGAATAAAATAAGCTAATTTAAGGTACTGATAGGTGCTGAGAATGAAATGCATATAAAGATACAAGGTTTATGGTGCAGAAGCTACTTGAGTTAAGGTGGTCAACGAAGGTCTCTAAGCATTTGAGTTGAGAACTAAAAGAGAAAGAGCCAAATATTCACAAAACAGAAGAAATAACTCCAGGCACAGAAAGGTTCGAACAATTTAAACTTAGGCTGTCTTAGTCCATTCAAGCTGCTGTAACAAAGTACCACAGACTGGGTGGCTTATACATAACAAACATTTATTTTTCGTAGCTCTGGAGGTTGGAAACCAGAGATCAGGGTGCCAGCAAGGTCAAGTTCTGGTGAGGGCTTCTTCCTAGTTGTCACTGCCTGCAACTTTTGCATCTTATAGGGTGGAGAGCAGGGAGCAGCAAGCTCTCTCATAGCTTTTATAAGGGCACTAATCCCAGGACCTCCTCTGATCCTAATCACCTCCCAAAGGCCCCACCTCATCATACCATCACATTAGGGGGTAAATTTCAACATAAGAATTCTTGGGAGACACAAACATTCAATCCATATCAGGTACTAAGATCAGAGAGAAGGCAGTGTAGCTGGGTCTGGAGTGGATGAAGTCAGAAAGGTGGGTAGGGCCATGCTAGCATGAGTCTTGTACTATTAAAAGGAGTCTGGCCTGACTGGTTTGGCTCAGTGGATAGAGCATCGGCCTGCGGACTGAAAGGTCCCAGGTTCGATTCCAGTCAAGGGCATGTACCTTGGTTGTGGCGTATCCCCAGCAGGAGGTGTGCAGGAGGCAGCTGATAGATGTTTCCCTCTCACTGATGTTTCTGACTCTCTATCTCTCTCCCTTCCTCTCTGTAAAAAATCAATAAAATATATATTTTTTAAAAAAGGAGTCTGAATTATAATCTAAGTATAATGGAAATGTATTGACAAGTTCATTTTTATTTATTTATTTTTAAAATATATTTTTATTGATTACAATGAGGAAGGGAGAGGGAGAGAGCGAGAGATAGAAACATCAATGGTGAGAGAGAATCATTGATCAGCTGGCTGCCCCCTGCATGTCCCCTACTGGGGATCAAGCCAGAAACCTGGACATGTGCCCCAGTTGGGAATCCAACCATGACCTCCTCGATCATATGTCTAAGCTCAACCACTGGGCCACACCAGGCTGGCAATATATTGCCAAGTTTAAACACATCAATCCAAATGCGTGGCTGAGAATTACTTACAAAGGAGCAAGAATGGAGGCAGGGGGACTAGTTAGGATGAGCCTGAAGAGGCTGAGGCGAAAGAAGACCAAAGATTCGTAACAAATTTCCTTCATGGCAAGGAGACTTTCCTGGTGAAAGGAAGCTGAATTTATTTTAATAACGTCTCCATTTACATGTAACACTATCTGTTATACAATTGTTTATTATGATGAGGTGAGGGGTGGAGATGAATGATGTGGGTGTAGATTGGCAATAATATATAACTCCACGATGTATTAAAAAGGCATCTTATTGTTGCTTCAAGGAACCACTACACAGGGCTTTTAGTCCTCCCCAAAGGAGAGCCACAGTATCTAGAAATTTAATTCTTCTCTCCAGTCTAGATGCAAAACTGCAGAAGCCATTTGCGAAAATGTGGCCCGCCAATCCTCAGAGGGCATGGAGCCCTTCTTCCGGCATTCTTTATTAGAGGCCATTGACCCATTTCTACCAATTATTATGGACAATTTACGGAAACTTGCGACGATGGCCATTTATTGGCATTTTTTTCTGGGGCTCAGCCACAAACGACTTTGGAACTGGCATGGACAGTGGCTCTGCTTCCCGACTTCTTCGCTCAGAGGCGACAGTGGAGCGCTGGGAGGTGGTGGGGCCTCAGCCATCCTGTCTTTCAGCCCATAAATCAGCATCTGAAGTGTCATGATGGCGCTGAATATACAAAAAGTGTTCGCCAGCCCAACCCACTGTCGTCATTCCTGGGGGCAGAGGGGAGTGGCAAGACGCTGTCGTGTCCCTGAGCAGTAAGGCGGCACAGTAAAGCGTGGTTTACACCACGTGTGCCACAGATTTCTCAGGGTCTCTCGACGGTTTTTTCAAGTTCCACCTTCCCTCCTTTACAGTTATCCTGGCCCCAGATGTGCACCGGCTCTTGACTCCATCTGTCCTTCCGCTGGGGACGAGTCTGTCTCCCCTGCCAAATGGAGAACACAAGTTTGGCTCCCCAAAGTGATTATAACCCCCGCCCTCCCTGCTCAGTCTGAGCCAAGAGTCTGGCCTGCGGAAGGGGCCTGACAGTCCAGGGGATGGAGGGGGAGGGCACGGAGAGGCTGCCTCCCCCACCATCGGCACTTGGCACGCAGAGCCTGGGCAGATGCCCGCCTGGCGCCCCAAATCTCCAGGTCCTTTCTCCTTTGCTCCCCTCTCCTCCGCCCCTGGCCCAGCTGCTAAGGCGCCCTGCAGCAGAGCGGGGATTCGCAGGTCGGAATTTGCCCTCGCGTGCGCCGCGTCACACGCCGGGGAGGAGACCAGAGGGGAGGCGCCCGAGGCGGAATCGCAGAGGGGCTCCCCAGCAGCCCACTGCGCTGCTGCCCGAGCCGCCGCTCCCCTCCTTTATTTCCTCCCTTCCTCGCTCCGGCTCGGCGCCCCCGCTCGGCCTCCCTGCCCTTACTCCACCCCTTTCTCCTGCCCGACCCCTCCTCTCTCTGTGTGTGCGCGCATTAGATAATTTCATCCTTTTTGGCAAAAGAAACATGCACCTGACTTTACCAGGGAGAAACGAGCGGCCAAGCAGAAGGAACAGGAGAGGGAGGGGAAAAGGTGAGATTCCTTTAAGGAAATCCCGGGGCCGAAGAGGTGGCCGCAGCGCCAGTGGCATCCAGCGCGCCCCCTCTGCGTGAGCTGCGAGCAGAGGACCTTCTCACCAGTTGCAGATGTAATCTCGGCAACTCCTGGGGCTGTCGGTTTGCTTGACAAACAAAGTCTTTTCTTCGTTGGCTCAGACCCTGAAGAGGCTCCTGGATTTTGCTGTCATCTCCCCACCAGCTGGCTGTTCCCCGGGAGCCTTCCCCAGGAGCTGGCGGAGCGACGAGCCCGTCTGCGCGGAGGATGGGCGAAGGGCGTCAGCGGAGCGGGGCTCCTGCCGGGAGGAGAGG